CAACACCAACACACATAGTTTGAATTCTGGCAACAGAATTAGGCTCTATCGCCAATTCGCCATCATATTTTCGCTGAACACGGAGACGAAGGATGGAACTATAGTTTAGGCATTGAAAGCCGTGGTTCTAGTAATAAAATGCTAAAATCTGGCGTTGTTAGTGGCAGAACTGGATGAAAAAATCATTGTAAGATATTGTTAGTAGTGCACAGTAGGTAAATATACTATTTTTGAAGATAGAAGTGTTACAGTACTAAAGTGCATTAGCGCCTAAAGTCCAATGCCGACTGTCCGGCCAGAACGCTTCTGTTCCCAGTCTGGATCAGCTTAGTTCTAGCCTAAGGCCTAGGCCCTACTAGGACTAGGCCTAAGTATACCACTATATAGGCCCTAGGTAGGGCGGCTAGGCCTAGCAGCAAACCTTACAACTGTAATTTTTTAATGTGTTGAAGTCTACTTACAGATTGTTTAACAAATCTTGCCAAGATTGCTTTGTTTGTCCAAAAAAGTGAGAAATAGAGTAGTAGCCACGACTAAAGAGATATTCTACTGTGATTTTCAGGGAAAAAACTGAAAACACATTATTCTCTAATATTCACCCTGCGAGCGCCCTCATAGTCAGGGTGGAGTAGGAACTTCGCTTTAAAAGAGAACTAGCAAAATTATTTTTTGTTCTAGAGAGGATTTTTGATATGCCATTAATAATAGAATCAACTTTAAAATCGTTTTTTGGCTTTTTTTTAAAAGTTATAGGCGATTATACGATTTTACCATGACGTCACTGGCGAAAAAGTAACAAAAAATCGTGTAAATAGCGCCGCGTAGTGTATCCGCCGCGTACGATCTTTGCGTGTTGTATGCTGTAACCTTGGCTGTATTTTGATTGTTACAGCATGCTCTGCACGCAAAGATCGTACGCGGCGGATACCCTTCGCGGTGGATACCCTACGCGGCGCTATTTACACGATCTTTTGTTACTTTTTCGCCAGTGACGTCATGGTAAAATCGTTTATATAACTTCATAAAAAAAAGCAAAACAAAAAAAAAATTCCATTATTAATGGCATATCAAAAATCCTCTCTAGAACAAATAATCGTTTTGCTAGTTCTCTTTTAATACATGAAAATATTGTAACAATTGTGATTTATAAGTCAGTCAATTATGGGTACTCATTGCTACAATATTTTTTTTTCTAATTATATCATATGCTTTATAATCATTTGGGGAATTCCTTGGTAACCGACGTTACAATTCATCCTTTACTACTTTATACTAAAAACATAAAAATATCTACAGGGAATTATTTTTTATATGGGAATGAAATATAGGAATTAAAAAGTCAATAACGTTTATTAAAATTTTTGGAAAGAAAATAATGAAATTATGTCTCTAAATAGAAGTTCATATGCATCAGCCGAATGTAGTACAATTGTTTATCAGTGTGATTAATCTGCTCAATAAACAATTTTAATTACTTGTGCAAATATAAAGATGTGGGTAACCCACATCTTTATATACGACTTTTCATGGATCTCGACTTGCTATGTAGGCCCTCTTTATGCTAGACGCGCCTAGACGGTTAGATTGGAAGCGACGGTCGAAGAAATAAAACGGTTAAGCAAGCCAAGGACTTCGCTAACTTCCATTCCTCAGTATTAAAATCCTTCCATTGATGGGCACTGTCTAAAACTTTCTTACAGCTTATCTCTGAAAAGATTCTAACCTTTTCGTCTGCAGTTTGCTCAACATGAATTACACAGGAGCCAGTGAGCTTCCATGACGGCCTGGGCTCGGACATGACACGTTGTTGTTTGTTGTAATTTCGCGACGTCATCAACGAGTACAATATCATTATCTACCATCAACTAAACTGCCTTAAAGGGGGAAAAAAAATGGTTCGTGTGGGAATCGAACACACGGTAAGTATGAGCATCCGTAGATTTATAATGCACTGATGTAGTGAGCCGTAATTCCTCAATAGATAATTTAATATCTAAGAAAGCCATCGAATTTGAGGAAATTTCATAAGTGAAGTCAATAGCTGGATGAAAATTGTTAGCGAAATTAATAAATCCATGTAATTCTTCAATGCTCCCACTGGTAGCCCCTATGCAGTCATCAATATAACGTTTAAATATTTCGGGTTTAGGTCCTTTGAATTGTGCCAAGATTTGGTGTTCGAGATGACCCATGAAGAGACATGCAAACGATGGTGCCATTTTGCTACCCATGCTAACTCCAGACATTTGGCGATAATATTTATGGTTAAAGGCAAATGCTGTAGTACACAAGACC